GGACCTTTCCAAGGAAGCTTTCATGTCGCCCATTGGCCCAGTGGCATAGTTGGGAACGAACGATTGCGCAACAAACAGCAGAACTAAGAGGAAAGATGCTGAAAAATGTGCATTATTTTCCAGGTAACTGCCAGGAGCAAAATTTCAATGCTAAAACCAACAAGATAATCAGTCATGATTGGTGTTTTTCGCCTACTTAAACCGGCTGCAAAGTGGCGGTCAAAATTAAGAGCAGTTAATCCCAATTAGCGGGCAATTAAGCGTAAATTGCCCCAATTTTCCTGCATTATTAGTGCCCGGCTAATCAAGTGCGGGCCGAACATTTCCAGCAGAAAAAACACGACAGGAACAACAATCGGCAAATAGGCGCGATCAATACCGAACAGCTGCTCAATTAGTGGAAGCCTAGTTTTTTTGCCTCTCTGGATATTTCACGAAATTAATCCAAGTCCAAGTAGGAGCATTGCCGAAAGTGTGTGGAGGTGCGCGCGTTTCGCATCCCCGGGCAGGCGTCGCGGCGCACTCCATCCTGCCGGGCCAGCGTCGTTTTCCTCCTCCTGCTAGTCCTGCCATCGAAGTCAGCGCTGCCTCGACCCTCCACAGCGACCTCGATTCGGTTAGCTGCCAGTCTCCACTTGGGACCAGTTTCAATCGCGATTCGCGCACGTTTTTCGCCGTGAGTGGAAGCAGGAAAACTCAACTCAGACTTATCTAAAGGTACCCAACTACTTCCACTCCCCCTATTTTATTGGGTATCGAATTTTTTTAATTAGCACCCAATTTAGTTGCTATCGCTTGTTTTTATTGAAGCCTTGATTTACCACGACTGCCTGCAAAGTTATCAGTCGTGAGCGAAAGTCCCGGAAATATTCAAGAGCTGGAGAGTTGCAGAAGAAGAGTTTTGCAGGCAAAAACGGCTTTCGCTAGAAAGCCCTGGGGGCACTGGGGCTGGCAGGGCCCCAATAATCTGCACGCTAGAGATGAACTTTTCGCTCCTCAGTCGTATAGGAGATTTGCAAACTTGAGAACTTAAGCGCAAATTACGATGTTTGTTCATCTGATTACTATTATTATTGATCCGTGACGCGTGAAGTCCTATAAATAATGCAATCATTTGGCTGCTTCGCTCTAGTCGCGAAAAGTGCCAAAAGTCCTCAAGTCCTATCAGAGTGAGTAGCATTTTTTCATCTCCATCTAGAAAAAAGTGCAGAAAGCGGGCCCAATCTAAGCACAGCTTCCGTGTTTTGGTAGGCGAAGAAGTTCACCCACGTGGCTTTTTCCCAACACCCTCCAATAGGGATTATTTGGGGAAATTGCGTGGGCGATTTCCCGGCTATTAATAGCCAGTCTAGGGTAACCCCAAAAATTTTAATTCGTAAACCTTGTCTGCTGCTTTTTTTGAAACCATTATTGCGGAATTTTTGGGCGCAGGAACACGGGATCACCCTGTATATTATTCTTTATAAAATCGCTTTGAAGATGATGGATTTTTTAAGTAAAATTGCTGTTTACAACTTCTGGATGCAACAGGAGTCTTGCCAATGTGTGTTCTTCGGATCATAACTGGTAGGTAACGCATGAGTAAAAGTAAGTAAAGTTTTTTACCTGCCGGTATAAAAGTGGGCACAAAGGCATTGCCGACTTTTTCAAAAAGGTCCCCAACAGTAGACTGGCAAAAAGGAAGAATTTTGGTTAGGTTTTAAGGACGAAATCTACACCCTTAAGAGGAAAAGTAATTTCAAAAACGCTCTATCGAAATACTTCTAATGATTGAGCGGATATTTTTCGCCGTTTCGGAAATATTCGTTTTTTAAACAGGTTTGCTTCCTTCTTTTTGCAGGTTAAGATTATCCCATAAAAAGCACGCCGTAAAAAACAGCTTTCCAGATTTTACAAATTGAATGGACATTTCCAACATTTTTTATAAGATTTAAGGTGCTTTAGTTGCAACAGAACCCAGAATTTTCAGATAAATTTTACGCATTTTTGCTTCAATAATTTTAAAGGTTAGGTGTTGTTGATAACGCCATACAGCAAAGGTGTAGTTCCCAATTGGGTTGCTAAAAAGTTGCTAAAGTCTTCCAGAAACTGATTAAATTTTTAAACTCGTTTATGCGCTACGGCGTGTTTTAAGCTTGAATGGACACGAAACGTTGGCATTTTCACTTCTATGGCTTCAGAGGTTAGAAATTTCTGATAAAACCTAATGAGAAACAGCTTTCGATGCATTTTACCGAAAAAATTATGTCGACTAATCAGTCTTTTCCAGTTTTCGACATATAAGGCTTTCTTATTTGAATTTTCT